CTAAGCTGGGGAGCTATGAGCAAGCCCACACCAGCCCGCCGCCTCTCACCGTGGGCAACTCCAGAGTAGTAGAAAGTCCAGCCTCTCTCGAGGAGTAAGGTTCCAAGTAGAACATGCAAAAACAAAAATAACAAATCAACAGGAAATGGAGAGCGGCAGAACCCACAATCGCTTACCTGTGTGTGAGTTTGTACATAACTGACAATAACAATGTGTTGTAATTGATATAGGAGTACTGAAAGGATTATTTGGCAGTAACACGAGTACTAAGCTACTTAAAATGGAGGATTACTGAATAGATTTAGATTTGCAGTAACCATAAATTATAAAGATCTGGGAAATTCCCATACTTGTACTATAATTATTATCATTATTTTATCATAGTACAAGCACACTGTTTTTTTTGTTTGTTTGTTTTTACTTGGTTTACTTGTTGTACCCACTATACACCTATTTAAAACCAACAAAGGCTTACCTTGGGGAGTTGTGGCAGGACTTTGGGGAGGCCTTTGTAGAACTGAGACTTCTGCAGGTTGTCTCTCTGGAAGAGGGAGTCAAAGTACTGGAGAGTAACAGCACCCACGTCATCAAAAAATGGGATCTGAGTTCCACAAAAAAAAAAACAAGCACATACTTTGTAAATATGCTACAGAAGCTGATTTGTTCTTCTTTGTATCTTCACGCATGTCATAGGAAAGCAAACCTTAGTCATCTGGTCGGCATCAGGCCGGACAGTGGGTGTGACACTGAGCAACATCTTGACATGCTCCCGCACCTCCTCAGGGATCTTGTTCAACAGTGCTGGACTCATGCTAGTCAACTACAGTTGGAAAAACACAGAATCAATGGAACTAAATGGAGGAGAATCAAATCTGTGATTGATAATAGTAACATACTCTTAAAGTGCAATGTGCTGAATGACCCAATTTATAAGTAAATAAGAAATCCAAACATATTTCCATTTTACTACTGAAATCAAACCCTGACAACACATATCTGCTGCACTATGAGCCAGACACTGACTCATATCTGAGAACACGTGCAGCTGCCCGAGAGACAACCAAGAGAAGAGGAAAAAATTAGCATGTGTGGAAAGAAAATTTTCCTTGAATGTGCGCTGCAGTAGTTTTTTCTTAAGATCAAAATGTCATAAAGAAGTATGCCCAACCCAAGTTAAAGTGACACATTTGTCACAATATTATGAAAAAGTTATGATACTCTGAGCCTAGCAGAGCACTTGTCATGCTCAGACATTTGGTTCCCCTCCTCTCACCTGGTCCAGCTGCTTGCTGAAACTCTTAAAAATGTCATGTTTTTTGACTTGGAAAACAGGCTTGCCCTCATTGAAGACGGCATGCATGACCACACCCAGCGAGTACATGTCAGAGGCAGAGTCACAGCTGACGGACAGGATGTACTCAGGAGCCAGGTACTCTGGGTTGGGGAGGCAGAGTGAGGGAAGGTTGGGCTCCCACTCTTTACAGGTGTATTTAGGCTGAAGGGGGTGAGAATATACAGATGTGACAATGCTGCTTAAACATTATTGTGGCAATAATCTTGGTTTTAAGCTCTGCCCTCAACATACCTCTGTATCAGAGGGGTTTGTGGAGGAGATGCTGAAGTCAAAGCCCATAATCTTCCACGCTCCACTCTTGTTGAGGATGATATTTTCTGGACACAGGTTGCCATGGACCATTTTCACTCCACTGTGGAGAAAGGACAAACCCTCCGAGATCTAAGGAGAAAGTAAAAAAAATGCAGGAAAAGGAAGACTGATAAAAGCTCACAGTTTGCATTCAAGTGCAAACTGTTTGACAATGAATCAGGATAAGTTATTACAACACATAGCACACAAAATGTCAACTTGGTAAAGTGTGATTGCATGTTATAAACATTTATAAACATTTTAGAGACCAAAGAAATAATCAAAAAACATTTGGCAGACTTAACAATAACAGAAAATGTTTAGTTGCAGCTGTACATCAAGCAATATCATGTTGGTGCACTCTCACCTGAAGCAAGCCATACTTTGTCTCCACATCAAAGAGTTTGTACTCCTTGATGTCGTTGGGTACGGGGCTGGGCAAGTTGTCCCACTGGCCCAGCACATTGGACAGACTGGCAAACACTGGCTCCGTACAGAACGCCAAGCAATCTCTGAGGGCCGGACACAGGAATAACTCCAGTATAATTAGAAACAACTGCTGGTTAAATGTTGAGGTATACATGAACAGGCAGACGCACTCCATTATGCAGCCACCCCCCACCACGGAATGTTAAGCCCCTCTTTATATGCTGTGACTCAATCTGTCCTTAATATACCCCTTTGTATGAATTTGTGAGTATATGTGTTAATCACCGTGACTCTTCCAGGGGATGCTGCACAGTCAGGAGACGAGGGTGACGCAGTCTGGTCAGCTGTTGCACACCCCTTTTCAAGGAATCAGTCATTTGGTCCTTGTCAAATTTCTGATACTTGTCAATCATCTTCTTATCGAACACAAACACTGCCACTTCCTGGAGCATTAAAGACACACAAGGTGCTTAAATGAGCTTTAATTTGTCCTGTAGCTGCTGATGATGAGGAAAGTGCTTAGCTGATCTCATCACAAGCAGCACGAGCACAGTCAATTATTTATCCATTTAACCCTGAACTTAGATGAACTGCAGCCAGTGTGATCAGGGGCAGGATATTAACACACACCTGTTTGGTGGACTTCTTGGTGCCATTATAGATCCTCCAACACAAGCCAGGACCCCCACTGGCGATATGCCGTCCGACCTCAAACTCCCGTGTCACTGGGTTTCCCATGACAGCACTGGTGACATCTGCCGTCACCTTGGTGACCGTGCTTTTCAACTTGTTCAGCATGGACTCCATGTTTCTTCCTGACTTGGCAGCTGAGGTCAAAAAGTGGACGACAGACCACCCAGGATAGGTAAGCAGTAAAACAAAAACACACTTTTTTAACTAAAAGGTCCAACAGTCAAATGACAGAACAACAACAGTAGTCTCTGTAATCACTGATGGAAACTGCAGCCACTGCCTTTTTTATGATAAGAAAAAGCCTTCAACAATCCATTACACACACACACACACACACAAACACACACACACACACACACTCTAACGCATCTGCTTGAAAATTTGCACATCAAAGTGTCCACCAGCGTCCTGGCTGTGCTGGCTCAGGAGAATAAGTACTGTACCAGCCACAGCTGTGCCCAGAAATGTGAAATAACTCAGAGTAACCTCAACCCTACCACATTAAGGCTCTATTTCGAAATACTTGAGACAACCTTGAAAGCATGTCAGGCAAGAGGAAGTCAGACAAAAGACCACAGCTGAGGGTGACACAGTCAAATAATATCTAAGTGAACAGTTAATTCATGGTTGCATTTGTGTTGAGTGGGCTTCTAATACTTTATTTTACTGCACTGAAACAATAAGCTTTATAATACATACCAATAACAAATAATTGAGATACACTTTACAGTCTGCATAATTAATGTCCTTGTTTGTGTTATATATTTATTTAAAAGCCAAAACACCGAAGCGTCGTTGGAAAATGTGGATCTGTTCAGAAAATACTGCAGGACTTCCGGCCTGAAACCCTCCATGGAATCAGCTGGCTCACCGAACTGTCAACACTGCGGTAGGTTTCACTGTGCCATTACACATAATTCACTTCATGGCTTTAAAGAGTGGCCACAAACACGTCTTACTACAAACCAAAGCGAACGTATGTCAATGAGGTGTAGCGTTAATATTTAATAACATATTTCTCCTGGCATGAGGCTGTTAAAAGGTTTTACTGGTAACAGTTTTGAACGAATTATGTAGTAAGGAGTAGCCACTGTTATTTTCGATAACAATGATTTATTTTCATTAATTAGAATATGTTAATATCGGGTGGCAGCTGGTGGACAGACGAACATTGAGAGCAAAGGGATTATACATTCACCTCACCAAAGCCACCTGCGCAGAGCCTATCGTTAACATTATCTGGGGAGCCAACCTAGCCTAGCACTGTCGTTAGCAGCAATACATTATTACCCGGTTTATTAATACTTGGTTGGAATAATTTGACAAGATACTTGCGCGAAAACATGAAACCATATGTATACATGTCGCTTAGCGTGACTGCCACAGCTGATTGGGAAATAACTGTTACAATGATGTTAGCTAAGTTTACCGTCTTCATTAGCCTGAACGCACACATCGACACTAGCACAGCACTATCATACCATCGCTATAAGTTAACAGCTATCTTCCCAAATTATATTAACCCTCTGACCACCCATGTAGCTCACATGGCTGACATCATCCTTGCAATCTGTCGGCTAACGCGAAAGGCTTGTTTATACAAACAGATCACGGTACCCACATTACAGCTAACTAGCCAACAACGCGCAATAAGACAGTGACGTTACCACCTTTACAGTGAAAGCTCGGGTTTTTTATATATACATATATATATGTATATAAAGCTGTCACTCACCTTAATACGAAAAGGTGTCAATTTTATTTATTATTGTAAGTGGGCTCTCAGCAGTACCACTGTCAGTGATGGCTGTGAAACACAGCCCCCATGTCTAACAGTAGCAAATGAGTTAGCTTAGTGCTCTAGTGAACGAACAACCCGACTTCCGGGTTATTAATGAAGTCAGGTGAGTAACGTCATCAAATGTTTTAAAATACTATTTTCAGTCATTCTACATTATGTATAATTAAACTGTACATCAAACCTCTGGATTCACAGTTTACATAAACACTCTGGATGTAGTTTAAATTATAATGCTTAAAATAAGGGACATCCTCTCAAGGTAAATGGGACTCTGCCTATACAATAAGCAGAAAACGTCATTCCCAGTGATGGGACTGATACCTGTGACAGCAAACCAGTACACTGGTATATCTGTAGACAACTAGCAATCAAAATACAGTCATGGCCAAAAATATTGGCACCCCTGCATTTCTGTCAGACAACGCACCACTTCTCCCAGAAAATTGTTGCAATCACAAGTCCTTTGGTTTTCCCATGCTTTTTTCTTTTGTTTGCATTGGAAAAACACAAAAAAGCAGAAAAAAGGCAAATCTGATACACTCCACACAGAACTCCAAAAATGAACTGGACAGAATTATTGATACCTTTTCAAAATCATCAGAAATAGTTGTATTTCAAGCATGTGATGCTCCTTTAATTTAAGGATTTGGCCAAGTATGTTACACACACAAGGAATTTGTTTCCGGTAGAGAACCAAGGCAGCCATCTGCAGTGCCAGCTCATACCAATGGCTCTAACCGTCGGGGGGCAACGTGGGGGTTCAGTGTTTTGCCTAAGGACAGCTCGACATTGAAAAGCACAGACAGTCTAAAGGCTCCAAGTCCATCTCCAGAGATCTGGTTGTTCCTGTGTCCAATGTGTACAACACTGTCAAGAAGTTTACAGCCCATGGTGCCGTAGCTGATCTCCCTGGACGTGGACGAAAGAGAAAAATAGATGACAGACTGCAACAAAGGACTGTTTAGATGGTGGATAAACAACCTCACTCAACCTCCAGACAAATTCAAGCTGACCTGCAGGCACAGGGTGCAACAGTGTCAGCTTGCACTATCTGTCACCTTCTGAATGACAAGGGACGCTATGGTAAGAGACTCATGGGGCCCCCACTGCTAACACGTAAAGGCTCCAAGTCCATCTCCAGAGATCTGGTTGTTCCTGTGTCCAATGTGTACAACACTGTCAAGAAGTTTACAGCCCATGGCACCGTAGCTGATCTCCCTGGACGTGGACGAAAGAGAAAAATAGATGACAGACTGCAACAAAGGACTGTTTAGATGGTGGATAAAGAACCTCACTCAACCTTGATCTTTCTGGGACAATGTCCTGTGGACAGGTGAGACTAAACTAGAGCTTTTTGGCCAAGCACATCATTCTGCTGTTGTCAGAAAATGAAATGAGGCCTTCAAAGAAAAGTACATGGTCCCTACAGTCAAATACAGTGGAGGTTTACTGGTGTTTTTTCTGGTTGCTTTGCTGCTTCAGGCTCTGGCTGTCTTGATTGTGTGTATAGCATTATGAAATCTGAAGACTACCAGTGAATTCTGGGGCACAATGTAAGGCCCAGTGTCAGTGTCAGAAAGTTGGGTCTCTGTCAGAGGTCATGGGTCTAACAGCAGGACACTGACCCAAAGCAGACTTCAAAAAGTACCACAAATGGTTTCAGACAATGCACTGGTCAGTTCTGAAATGGCCAATAAGTCCAAATCTAAATCCCATAGAGCACCTGTAGAGGAATCTCAGAACAGCAGCTGGAACAAGGAACCCTTCAAATCTGAAAGACCTGGAGCAGTTGGCAAAATAGGAGTGGTCCAGAATTCCATTGGAGAGGTATAAGAAACTCACTGATGGTTATAGGAAACAATTGATTTCAGTTAAATTGTCCAAAGGGTGTGCCACAAAATATTAAGTTGAGGGTGTTAATTATTCTGTCCAGTCCATTTTTGGATTGTATCAGATTTGGCTCTTGCTTTTTGTGCAGATCCATTGCAAACAAGAGATAAACCTGAGATTACCAAAGATTTTGTGTTTGCAACTAATTCTCTGGGAGAAGTGGTGCGTTATCTGACAGAAATGCAGGGGTGCCAACATTTTTGGCCATGACTATAGGTGAGCCTGTCTAAATAATATGGACGCACCATTTCAGGACCCCTACAGGTCTGTGGACTCCATTAGAGTAAATCCACACAATAAAAACATGAACATTTAGTTGGAGATCAGTTAAACTTTTTATTAGATTACTATTTTAACAAAAACTAAAGCACGTTTCAGCATCATAAAGTGCACTTTCACATCATTTCTGCTCACAAAGAACAAAGGATGTTGACTGAAATGAGATTCGATGTAAATTACTTTTGTATGACCATGGCTTCATCAATTAAAATAATCAAATCCCACTGAACACCATGCTTAGCAAAAATTATTCAAGTAAAATCTGAAAGTTACAATCCAAAGATATTTGACTAAGTTACTGGCACTAAAAGCATTTAATACCCAATAAAATTAAAATACATTACATTATTAACCTGAGCTGTGATTGGCCCAACACACTACTGTACCCACTTTGTTTTCATTTCATATTGAATTTCATGCTCAACCGTCACAGAAGTAACTTTGATGCTCAAAACAAAAATGAGTTACATGCTGTGTTCAGCTTCACTCTGCTATATTAGCATTGCTTTGTAAGTATACACACACTACATCATGCTACTGAAAAACCAGACACAAAATGATTTCTACAATATTTTTCATGTAAATATTAACACCAAATATTAATGACTAATCAAAGTGTACAGTAATAAGCCCCAATAAACAGAATTTAAATAGCTCATAGGGATAACTTATTGCCTTCACCCAAAAAAACGTGTCAAAACAGTTTAGCGCACAAAAGCAAACTAATTCTTTAAACACTATAAATCCACCAAACATATAAACAATTCCTAATGTAAAATTATCCCAACTGTTAAGACCACGCCTTCAACAAACATATCTCAAAACACTTTTATCAGTTAGATAATGCATCCAGTGGTATGCTGCAATAAAAACTTTTCACAAAAGAAAATTTTAAAGCAAGATTTAACAGTGACTCGACAAATAAAGACTCAATTATTGCAGGCCCCTTGTGAATTAAAGGAATTTGAGATATCTGCACTGGCAGTCACCTAAACCTGCACTGTAAAGTAAAAACGATATCATTATGTTGTATGAGTCAGAAGGTGCTGGAAAAATGCTGGAGGAAAACCACAGGGTGGTGTTTTTGAAACTCTTTGAGCAGCTTCCTCTTCTCCTTGACAGGAATGTTCTTGCTTGAGGAAATGTCATGAAGAAGCTGTTTGAGGCTCTCCAGTGTGGTAGCCTCACGCTGGTCCTCGTATTCCTGTGGTGTGACCTGCTGGCAAAAGGTGAACGCTACAACACACAGTGGGGAAGCGGACATTAGCTTTTGACTAAACCACAATGCATATGGGTCTAAGAACAAGTGTGTTTTTTTTTTATGTGGAACTGGAGCAACAGTGCCTCCATGTGGGCAAAATAGGCATTTTGTTGTGTCTCTATGCACAGTTACATACAATTACAAGTTTGAATGGTTCTGTATATGCATACATTCCAAGTTATTATTTCATGTGATGGTGTAATGTTAGCTGGAGTGTGCATATTTTACTCAAGCTGCATTTAACCTACTAGCAATAGAGTCAGGGTCTTTGCCTTGCCGCAAAGTCCTCAGTGTTCTCCTGACAGCTTCAATAAGGGATGTAGGAGTCTGTAATAAATACAGAAAACAAGCAGAAAAGCAAACACCGAACACAAGACTGACCTACCCATAGGTGTCTGGAGGTCTACAGTCCATCTAATCACAGGACATAAGAAACTCAGTATAAAATAGAAGTTTAACAAGAAGTCATTTGACTATTTTGTGTTACACTGGCAAACAACTAACATAATTCTGCCAAAACGCAACTGTACCTTGAATAGTTCAGTGTGATTGTCCATGAGAAACAGCACCAAGGTTTCGCTCTGGAATCGATTCAGTTCATGATTCTGAACAACTGCCCTCTGAAAGGTGCGGCAAATTAAGGCCCTGTTATCAGTCTAAAAGAAAAATGACATCACTGGGTTTTAATATGAGATAATTCTATCGTATTTACTGCTGTGCAAAAAGCTGGAGCAGAAGTGTAGTGGAATGAAGGAGTGAGACATAAGTTACCCGTTTCTGCAAACGACAGGCGTCTGGGTGAGCTGCTGTGGCCATGAAGGCCAGTAATCTCCAAAGTTCATCTCTCACACTTGTGTCCAGCAATCGCAAACACAACTGAGATGCTGTGATGGCATCCTGCACCTTTCCTTCATCTGCAGTGAAACAAGTTGTGGTCAAGAGGGGGAGGAAAGAGGTAAGATCCACACACAGTGAAAATGTGTTTATCTTCATGACCAAAAACATAAGAAGCAAAGTGCACACACTTTTATCTGATATCAGGTATGCCAGAATGGTTCTCAATTCCATCTCCAAAATTTGCAAGATGACACACACATACACACAATCACTATAAGCCTTTCCAAGTCTCACCCAGCAAATTCAGAATCGCAGCATGTATATCCAGGTAGCGTCCTGAAAGAAGTGGAGCTTTTTCTTGTCCACTGTAGTACTTGGCAATAATGTCAAAGAGAAGTCTCTTTTGGTTTGTCATCTGCTCTGCATTACCATCCTCTAAAAAGGCAGCGGGCCCTTGTTGGCTGAGCTGTTCCCCTGCAACCACGATTAGCTGGTCAGGGAAAAGCTCCAAGCAGTCTGCTGCTGCTGAGAGCCACTCATCCAAACTGAGTTGAAACAGAATAAAGTTTTACATTAGTGTCACTGTAGAGGAGATTGAATACATTTGCTATCTTTACTTATTAATCTCCTTTAATTTTCTCTACAAGTTTTGCAAATGCATTTTAACAGGTTTCATTTCTCTTCAGTATGCAAAACATTTTAAGTATTAATCAGAGCACTGACTGGGGTAGGTTAAGGGTGTCGGGCAGCTCTCTCTCCAGGCAGATGTTAGGGATAACCAGGTCCTGGGCAGCCAGAAAAGCTTTACACATCTGTGACTGCAACCTGGTAGGAGGGCTCAGGATGCAGTCCAACATGGGCAATTCCACTATCTGTAGCAGCTGCAGCAATGTCTGCTGCTTCCAAACCTCATCCACCACTGTGAAAGAAGAAACAGAGTTCCAAGTTTCCAGAGTAGCATCTATCGACACTTTACTGACACATTGTCGATTTTTCCCTTGCATAATGATACAACAGAAAACCTGTTCCAATCAAGTGTGGATTTGGAAAATATTGACAGACTATATCAGTCTTACCAGCCTTGGACAGAAAGGCAGAAGTAGTTGTGGCTACACTTGAAGCAGGGGACAGGGAGGGCTGCAAGTTGATGCTCCTTAGCAGCCTCTCAACCCTTCTATCTGATGATTCAACAGCAAGAGGATTGGAGATTGTTCTCAGATCATTCAGCCTGCACAGAGAATCATTTCATCTTAAATTGGATACATTTTAAGTTTTTTTTTTTTTTTTTTAAGTGCTTCCATATAATATTGAATCAATTAAGAGTGGCTTTATACATCTGGAAAAAAACCCTTAGCATTAGCTCCATTTTTATGCTAATGATGTGCAGATTTACTTGCCATTGATGCATAGTGATGCCAATGCACTAGCCTCCTTGCACAGGTGTTTGGGTGATATTAAAGAGTGGCTCGCACAGAACTTCCTTCATTTGAATGAGGAGAAGACTGAATATATTGCTTTTAGCCCAGATCCCAGCCACACTGTATCCGGCCTAGGTGCTTCAGCCCTGTTTAAATGGCATATATCCATCCAGTGCTTTGTTGAGACATTGATTTGGTATTGAATCCAATAAGTGTGTAGTTTGTGATGGAGATGAAAATGCAGAACATCTTTTTTTCCCAATGTACGTTTGTGAAGAACTTTTGGCATGAGGTTTTTGTTTGGTTCCAATCAAAGATTCACCTCCTAAATAACTTCACCCAAAAAGACATTATTTATGGACTCCTGATGGACAATGCCAATGCTGACTTTCTGATCAACATCATCATCATTTTTGGGAAATTTCATATACATAAAGCTAAGTATATGAAAATTGTACCTCGTTTCTGTATATTTCTCAATGGGTTTCTTGTTTTTGTCAAAGCCCTATGTCTAATGAAAACCAAAAGCGCTACAATACTTTTTAATTTAATTGAAGAGCATAATTTAATACCAAAGCCCTAATTTTTTTAACATGACTTTTCACTTAATTTTATTTTATTTATTGTTTTTTTTACTACTTTTTTTTTTCCTCTAACCTTATTTATGTATTTTTATTTTTCTCTCCTTCCTCTCTTGTAGTACTGTTCTTTATTATTGCACCTGTTATGGAATACTAATGTTTGCCCCATTTGTTGTAAATACAATTGTTCAATAATAAAAATAAATTAATTAAAAAAGCTTCAGCCCCGTTATTCACTCAAACTGTGAAAAACCTGGGAGTGTTATTTGATAGCAGCCTCAAATTTGACAAGCAAATTAGTTCGGTGGTCAAAATAAGCTTCTTTCAGATCAGGCTCCTAGCAAAGGTGAAACCTTTTTTTTTTTATCTCGAGCCATTCATGCCTTCATTAGCTCATGACTTGACTACTGCAATGCCCTTTATACTGGAATTAGTCAGTCTCAACTCCATAGGCTCCAACTCATACAAAACGCGGCTGCTCGACTACTATCAAACACTCCAAAGAATGCTCACATCACCCGGTTCTTCAGTCCCTTCACATGCTTGTGGTGCAGTTTAGAATAGAATAGAGGTTCGATCTCTAACGGAGTTAATGGTTTTTAAGTCTAAATTAAAGGCACATTTATTGCATCTAATATTTAGCAGCGATGCTCTACAGGGTCTACAGGCCTACCAGATTTTATATTTTGTAATCTTCCTCTCTCTGTATTTTGACTCATTTTTATTCTACAGGAATGTTATAGTTCTTATAGATCGTTGTTTTAAATTTGTGCGATGTTAACTTTTCTTTTGTTTGTTTATGTATTTTGGCATGCTCTGTTTTATTGTGAAGCACTTTGAGCTCCTTTTGGTGTTGTAAAGCGCTATATAAACAAATTATTAAATTATTATTTATTAACAATATAACTATGTAGGTCTAGTATGTAGAATCGGCCACTGCTGTCTTTACGATCTGACAAAAAGACAGCAATGGTTAATTCAGAAAAACCTTCAAAGTTACACATTTTATCTGATGTCATATTACAGTTATATTATATACTGGAAATCAGTGTATTGTTCTGCTCTGATTTGTATGTGGATATTCATCACTGCTTTGCAACAAATCATCCATACTGCATGGATTTTGTGAAGCACCACACTAACATATCACATGTAAAACTAACCTGGAGCTCTTCTTCCTCTTCATCATTGGCTCCTCTGGTGGTGTGTTTTCTGTGTCACTACTGCACTCCTTGACAGAAGAGCCAGGTAGCACTTTATATTCCAGAAAACGGTAAAGACTACAGCTGCTGTCCGCAAAGGTCATTTCTTTGTCACAGCGAAACAGCTTCGTACCCACTGGTTCAAACACCTTAGCCTCCATCAGAGCCTGGCAGAGTCGTGCAGCTTTGAGGCGAGACACTTCACTTGTGCAAAACACCACATTCTGCATCAAATAACTGAGGACAGTATCCACAGCATCTGAGCCTGTAAAACATTCAGTATGAACACGTAGATGCCTTCTACAGCAGCGCACCTCCACCTGAGTTTGCAGGGCCTGAATGATGTTGTGCCACAGCTGGGTGGCACCAAAAGGCCCTGAGAAACCTACTGGGGGAGACAGCATTGAAAGAAAAGTGGTGGTGATTTTCAGAGTTAAAATGTTCTGATGGACTTCATTCAGGTCTAATGGATGTTCAAGCTGGTTGGATAAACCCATTTACATGCATACCATTTGTAAAATACCTTCTGTCTCAAATTAAGTATTTTTGTTTTTTTTATCATGTGTTACTGCTACTTTCACTCTAGTAAAGCCTCCCTTCGCCATCTCTGACACAACACAACGCGTTGGAGGCTAACGTAATGTATCTGTCAGTGCAACCATTCAGCGTCTTAATATTTATTTACATCACTGTGCTTTGTTTTTGTGATTATATTAACATAAAGAAAGATGAGATCATTTGGAAATTTTTGGCGTTAATACGAGAACTTACCATGCTGTATATTTTCACGAAGATTTTTAGTTTGGCTGTCCAGTCTTCTGAACCGAGGAGTCAAATCAACCGCCATCATAAATACTGTGTGACGTAGATTCTTCTTCTTCTTCTTCTTCTGCTCCTGCTGGTTCTGCTGGTTCTTCTTCTTCTTCTTTTCTTCTTCTTCTGCTCCTTCTTCTGAACCGAGGAGTCAAATCAACCGCCATCATAAATACTGTGTGACGTAGATTCTTCTTCTTCTTCTTCTGCTCCTGCTGGTTCTGCTGGTTCTTCTTCTTCTTCTTCTTCTTCTAAACGTAACTGAAAGAGAGAATTCGGCCGCCACTCCCGCCCTCTACAGACAATAATATCCACCGCATCTGTACACAAATAAGTGAAAATCAGCATCAGTAAAATCAGAATAAGTCATACTTTTGACTGAAATGTTTGCTGTTTTGGTTGTAACCAGGTAATACAATATCCAGACATGTTCACAAGAAAAATGTAATATTCCTTGCAAATGCAGTTTGATCTACTTTTTCTAAATATCTTTAGTTAACCAGACTCTTCCCGAGTAGCTTTGCTGTGGTTCAACTTCTTCTTGTATGAAGTAATTGGTAGCTTGCCAGTTATGCTTTCAAGACAAATGAAGATGGAGAGAGACCCTCAACAAGAATTTATTTCTTACAGGCCTGGAGAATGGAACACATATACACTGTTAGGTATTTTTAGTCAGATAGAAATTGGATAGATACTTTATGTATTAGAAATGTTTAGTGGAGATAGGATGTCTAGTTAGACTGTTAAATGCTTAGTCATGCTTATGAGTTTCTACAGGGTACATCTGGTCAAGGATAACTAGAGAGAAGAGTTGATGACTGTCAGCAGACAGGGTGTTTAATATTATTATTATGACGTGTATAACTGTAGCCTTAGCCATAATATGTTCTTATGTTTAAGTCACGACATGTTACTAGAGGTCTGTGAGAATGTTTTTAGCTACACACCACGTAATCAACAGACACACACACATTGATTTGCTTCATGTTTTGACTACTGCTATGACCAGCTGCAAAGCTGGCACCAGAGACGTCTCGGTTGACGTTTCTGTGTAGTATGGGGCTAGCCCAACCGAGGGGATATAATGTATAGGCCTGGTGGGTTCAGGGTCTTTCATCTTACATCTGCCTGTGAGCAGTTTGGAGGTGCAAGATACCTGAGCGTGTAATGTTAATTTTACCTGTGATCCTTGGAATAAATCAGCACAGTTTTGAAGTTACTGGACTGCCTCGTCTCTCAGAGTTAGTATGGTAAAAAGTATCGGGTACAACAACACAAAGAACCATATCTGTGATATTCTGCTGTATTGAGAATATCTTTAAGTATTTATCATGTATCCAAACTATACAATTATTGGTGTTGCTATACTCTCCCTGAGGTGATATATAAGAAAGTCACTTTCGGCTTTTCCCGTTTAGGGGTCGCCACAGCGAATCGTCACACTGACGACTCGCATGTTGACATTTGGCACGTGTTTTACGCCGGAGGTGATATATACAAAAATAAATCACTCCTATCAGTCAAATTGAAGCCTAATTACATATTTTCCTAGAATCAGAAACCACATTATTATCATTATTATATATAGAGAGAGAATCTTCAACAAAAAAGTCTTGCAAGCTTTATTATGAGATAAATAAAATAAATAGCACTGACCATAATTGACAAAAAATAATTGTGGGCTAATTGGTTTACATCTCAAGACCGTTTTGTGCTCCCAAGGGTGAGTGCCCATGACAGTGTGAAGTGAATCTTGTCCCCATAATATCCTAAATACACAGAGTGCTACAACACTGGTCATATCCGTAAACAAAGGCGTCCCACGTAAGGGAGCGAGGAGCGTACTATAACAACCAGAGGTTATATAGTAAAAATAATCCCTTTAAATTTTATTGAACGAAATAAATCGATTTTGATGCATGTTTGTCGTTGAACAGCATAGATATCACATTTTTGTAAAAAAAAGAAAAAACAAAAACAAAAAAAACCAATACAAAAACAAAAAACATTTGCTTTGTCGTTAAACACCCCTATGTGTGAAATAGTTTAGTCCGCGTGGCCTCTAAAGCAGCTGGAGGAAATACGAACCTTTAAACAGAAGCGAACAGTTCAGAGAAACAGTGAAGCGGAGCGATTTCTGGTGTTAGTCTCCCTTTTCCGGAGACTTGAAGGAGGTAAACAGTAGACTTCCTTCATCACATTTTGCTGTATTTACACTTGGGAGTCGTTATGTCGTGCTCAGTTGAAAACTTTTATGTCCATCTCAAGCTTTGTTGTGGAGCAGAAACAGGTTCAGTCGTCGATGGTTCCAACTAGTTAACAGCTAACTATCGTAGCTTGTCAACGCTAATGTCAAAGTATGGCTTCTGCGTGAAATTCGCCATATTCGACATTTATATTGGGCTGTTCTAGCCAGAGCGTTTAGTTGCGTAACAAAGACGCTGCCATACTGTAAACAACACTGGTGAATTTGACAGTTGCAATATTTTCAGAGCGTATGCATTTAGTCTTACTGCACCTTTTGTTTGGGTTCTGACCTGATCACTGAAATAAAATGTATAATTTGAAATGCGCATGCATTTAGTTCATGTTTTGTTCTATGACGTGTACCACTTGTTAAGCGTGTGTGGATGTTTTTTTACCCATGTGCACAACTGTGTAACCAGAGATTTTTCATGTATGGATGAGAGACAGGGAGCTTCAGCCAATACCGAGAGTCCCCCTGTTGTTAGCCCAGCCTCCCTGATCCACTGCTTTGTTTACATTATACTGCGGTCAAATATGTATGCCAGCAGAAGATAGTCTTTGTTTATGCAGGAGATAATATGACAACACACGTATTTTCTCATGTTTTTGCCCATGTTCATGCAAAACATCTGGGCAAGCTATAGATATTCTTGCAGATATGCTGTTTTCAGCAGATCACATTGCAATGCTTCATTTTAAGGTGCACCCTGTAATTCAGATAAATGAATCAGTATCCTTCCAAATGCCTTTTAAAGTTAATTTTTAAACATGTCCATACATTTCAAATGTTTAGGTTTTAACTTTCTGTGGCTATATGATCAGCCTGTTAAACCAGCAAAACTGCAGTTTATTCTACCTAACATTACGACTACTCAAAGAGGATTTCTCCTCATGAAGCAGCAAATGACAGCATAGACTTAATCTGTAATCAGTTTTCTGCATTGCTCCTCTTATTTTAATTGGCCTGTTGCATTGATTTGACTTAGCTGTTAAGTCTAGCAGATGGTGTAATGAATGAGCTTTGGACACAGTATAGCTACATGGAAATCACATGCTCCCCACAGCCATTCTCCTCAGCCCTTGAGCTATCTTTAAACCAAAAGAGCAGTAAGGGAGTGTGCATTCATTTTTGGCTGTAGATAACTGAGACCAGGGACAGGAACACCCAAGGGTCACACTGCCAGCACTGTATGTCTTAGATAATATTAGAAAGGCAGATGCCTGCTTATTTTTAGATGTTACTGTAATCAAGATTTTTTTTTTTTTAATATACATCCCATACATGTCATGGTAAAGTTTCTGTATCTGCTCAGTTTCTTAAAGCTGGTACTTTTCTTTCTTTTGCTTACAAGCATGTCCTTTTCTTTTTATGCTAATATAGTTTTATTTGTGTGGATGACAGACAACACAGGGACTGGTGTAACAGGATCGTATTAACCGTTGAGAAGTCCTCTGTTGTCCCATGTTACCCTAGAGACACACTGGGTGTCAGATAGGCCTGGCCACAGTGTCCTTTTCATTCTCAAGGAATAGGCTACAGGCTTTTGTTTAAACCTAGCTGTGGAAATGGGTCCTATTGGTTTTCTGACTTTGGAAAGTGTTATAAACCTCTACAGCAATAAGCAGACACTAAATCATTATGTGGTGTTTTTTTCCAGTAAATTATGTAATTTGCCAACTCAGAAATGTTTAGTGGAGATAGGATGTCTAGTTAGACTGTTAAATGCTTAGTCATGCTTATGAGTTTCTACAGGGTACATCTGGTCAAGGATAACTAGAGAGAAGAGTTGATGACTGTCAGCAGACAGGGTGTTTAATATTATTATTATGATGTGTATAACTGTAGCCTTAGCCATAATATGTTCTTATGTTTAATGTCATGAGGTTGACGTTTCTGTGTAGTATGGGGCTAGCCCAACTGAGGTGATATAATGTATAGGCCTGGTGGGTTCAGGGTCCTTCATCTTACATCTGCCTGGGAGCAGTTTGGAGGTGGAAGATACCTGAGCGTGTAATGTTAATTTTACCTGTTATCCTTTGAATAAATCAGCAGTGTATTGAAGTTACTTGGACTGTCTCGTCTCTCAGAGTCAGTATGGTAAAAAGAACCAAAGTCCTTCAGCAGCCTCATCTGTTTCCATGGCCCACCAGTTGGTTTAGTGAGTGTGACTGGTGTTTCTGTTAACTACCTTGACAACAGCAGCTATCGCTAAGGTGAAAACTTAATGCACTCTCAGATACTCAGTCTAACATTCTTTCTCCCTCTAACACAAGGTAAAATCTGTTCTGTGTGTATGTTTTTTTCTTTTTTTTTTTGTATTACTGGACCCTGGTAGGGGCAGAATAGAGTACATGAAATTTTATACTTTCACTTTTTAAAAAAAAGGCTCACAGGCAGTACTTGTTAACAGGACACTTCATTGGGATTTTTAAGAATAATTACATAGTATCACCAGATGTCAATTTTCATCTGCAGCTTTCTTGATAACAGCTTCCAAACAAAAGGAGGAATGAGAAACGTTTCAGTTAAATTATAAGCCTGTTCCTTCCAAGTATCTGTGAAAGTAATAAGTAATAAAATCCTCTGACTAATTCCTCTCAGGTTGAGTAGAGTATTAAGAAACCTGGTGGCTTTCTACTGAAGTAATAATCTAAATGTTAATATCAACTTTTATTTGCAGCTGTATCCCAAGATGCCTTTAAATGATGAGCAACCCACCTCCACATCCAGTGGTGAGGACCAAGGCAGCTATGCAGAGTCGTCGTCGTCAGAGCGCTGTGACAGCATGACGTCGACCAGTGACCTGGACTGCTCTCGTGAAAGCTTCACTAGTGACTGCTCCAGCAAGCATTGCACACCTTCCTGTCAGTTTTCCCACTCACCCTTTTTCTGGTCTTTGTATAAGTTCTCTAGGCATCCTCTGATTTTCTGTTTTTATTTTTGTGTCCATGATTGTGTTTTTTTTTTTCTTCGCAGTAGGGCCCAATAGTTTGTTGGTTTCAGCACTGACATCATCAGACTTTACTGTAAAATTGACATTGAAAATATTTTGTTCATATTTGTGGATTGGCTTCAGAGCATGTATTTTATCTATGATCACATTCCAGGAATAACCGCCCTCACCACTGTGATCATGCAGCTTCAGCAGTTGATTTTATATGCCCACTTATTTTTTTAACTCTTATTTTTAGGTTTACAAAGTGTGGTCTGTATTTGCTTTATGCAGCAAGCCCACCCAAAACCTTAACCCTGGATGAAGTCATGGAGTCTGCCAGAGACCTGTCCAATCTCAGCTTTGCTCATGAGATCATCATGAACCACAGCTTCCATCTAGAGCCAGAGAGCCTACCTGAGGACAGGTGTGCCAGCTGCATTAAATCTTGTGTCTGCATATCTCCAACCTCTAATCATATTTAGCAATTTAAAAAATACCACTTTGTTAGGTAACAGTCTTACAAAAACACACAGGCTTGTCCTCCGTTACACTGGTGTTCTTTTATTTTACTGAAGTCTTATATGAGCATTTTAACAGTTATATTCATATTTTAAATTGCAAAGTTTACAGTGTAAATGTCAACATTTCCAAATACTTGGTGTTGACTTACACAATTTACACCCATTCACAGAGAATTGATCAGAGCAGAGAGCAACAACTTATTGTGTCTATTATGCTTTGTGTAAAATGTGGTGTTTCACAGTACTGAAGTAATTGTGTTTACATCTACATATAGAGCAAAGGCTTGTCTAGTAACAGTGATTGGCATGCAACCTAAAATTATCAGCTCCTGGTACACTATCTCCTTCAAAGTAAAGGAGGTTCTAATAAATGCTACTGAATTCTTTCTATAAGGAAATGAAATAAATTACTTACTTCTCAAGATAAATTCTGCTTAAAGTGATTTTTCCTCATTGAATAAACACAAGTAGTCCATGTCCCTGTAATATAAAGTATTGCCAATAGACAGACATTTGACAATACCTTTTGGATTTACATTTAATCTTATCAGATTTTTCCCAATAAAGAGACAGAAGAGAAGAGAACATCACATGTAGTCTTTTTGACAGTATTCACTGGCTTTCACTGTTCTTCTTTAGCACAGCCTGAACTTAACGAGAGAGTGAATAGGACAGGGACAAAGAGAGTTGAGGGGAAGACAGAAAACATATTATCTTTAGTGAAAGAGTAAAGTGAGGGACAACATAGTATACAATAAGATTTATGACTGTACGGGATTACCAGCAGCAGTCACAAATTTAATCTCCAGGCTCAGCAACCACAGTATATTTTTATTCTTGAGGTGATGCATGTCACTGTTGTTTAGTACTTGTTATCTCTACCAATAATAACAGCACGGACTGGCCATTGCTTCTGACAGAATATATATACTCAGCTTCTCTTTTTCAGTTTATGGAAGGTAATTAGGGATAATGTCCACAAGGCCTTTTGGGACATCCTGGAGTCAGAGCTGAGCGACGACCCACCTGAGTATGGGCAAGCCATCAGACTATTGGAAGAGATCAGAGAGGTCAGTTTACAGCTTCACTAGGTCTGCAGAAGTGACTTTAGTGCTCTGACGTACAGCACATTTTGCAAAAAAGTGCAACGAATTAAGCAACACAACTGTTTAATCATGTTAGAAATAACGCCTTTTAAAAATGACAGTTGTTTTTGTCTTTCGACAGATCTTGCTGTCATGTCTCAATCCTGGTGCCAATCGAATGAGGACCCAGATCATGGAGGTGCTTGACATGGACCTGATTCGTCAGCAGGCTGATAATGACGCTGTAGACATCCAGGGGATTGCCTCATATATTATCACCACCATGGGCAAGATGTGCGCACCAGTGAGAGATGAAGAGATCAAGAAGCTGCGGGAAACCCAAGATAACACTGTAACACTGTTCAGGTAAAGTCATACATGGGGTTCAAAGCACTGAAAGCATTTCTGTCTGAAGGACAACATGGATTTGTTTTTTCTTCTTTATTCATATCATGTGAAGCAACTCAGTCACAGTAGCCTGGTTTTTTTTTCTCTAGGGAGATCTTCCGTGTGCTGGACTTCATGAAGGCAGATATGGTCAACTTTACAATTGATAATCTGAGGCCTGTGCTGCAGAAACAGAGTGTTGAATATGAAAGGGCAAAGTTCCAGAGCATCCTTGAAAAAACACCCAGTAAATGAACAAGAAAACATGTTTCATTATACCCGTTTTTTACTATTTCTGTTTCCAAATGGTTACAATGTATAACCTGCCACAGAAAACCTACTTGTCGAGTTGGATATTTGACGATAACGGAATCAAAATTTAAGAATATGATATTTATCATGAGAGTAGTGTTTACTGGAATAGCACTACTGTATAAACAAAACTACAGTATAAAAAGTCAAATACTACCAGTTCACCAGTTCACATTACTTTGCTAACCTTCTTCAGGTGCTTTGGACCACACCACTTCCTGGATCAAGTCAGTACTGGAGGAGCAGCTGTCATCCACCATCCCCACACAACAGACTAACAGTCAGGGAAAAGGACAACTAGTTGTGCCTGGACCCTTTCAGGTCCTCAACACTGCCTTCCTTCGCATCCTCACATGGGACTACAATAGGAGCCCACTGCCTGAGGTAGGTTTGTGTTAAAGCTCTTTGTTCTTTGTGGAAAAGTATTTTGGAATGTCAGCTTTCTCTTAACAAACCACACATTTCCTAATCTTCAGTAATAAAAATGAACATAAAACAGTAACCTGAATATATTTTCTATACTTTACTAATAATCCTTAAACATTTCATGGGGATGGATAATTCTATCTTAACTTTTTTTTTGTATGAATTAGAGTGAAACTAAAAGCAGAGTATCTTCTTAAACATGCCTTCATTGTTGTAACACAGTTTGTGGTTTTACAGAGCATTATTTGCTGTAAATAGTTTTGGATGGAAGCAGATTTTCTGGAACCTTTTACTGTGTGCTAGTGTGTCCACCAAATAGTGAGCTTTAGGGATGCTGGAAAGTGGATTTTGGAAGCTGGGGCAAAGTCAGGCTAGCTGTGCTGCTGTAGCTCCATATTTATACACAGACAACTCTCAGTGAGAAGATGTAAGTATATTTCTCAAAATGTCAAACTATTCATTTAGGTCTCTTATGCGGTTGTTGTTGTTATTTAGACCTGGATGACAGATGAGCTACGTCTGCGGGAGATTCAGTGGAAGCTCCAGCAGGTTCAGGTGGTGAACGAGGTGCTGCTCATTGTCTACAGCACCATCGGAGGGCCTATCCAGGGTCTGCCAACCCTATCTGACTGCTTGAAGCAAATGACCAGCGTGCTGCTGGATGGAATACACAGCCCGTCAGTTCAGTTTTCAGTTTTCTTTTTATCCTAGTCCACAGTCTGTATTCAAACATGCAACTGATTATCACAGGTCATCTATTGTCTACAACACGTGATACAAGACCTCAAACCATCCTTCTCCTTCATTCTTAGTGACTTTAAGCTAGAAGAGGCACTAGAGGATGTCAGTGCTCAGATCTGCTGTGAACTCAACAAGTCTTTAACAGAGAGGAACTACCTTGCACTGACCCCGGAGCTGCAGGCCACCCTCACAGGCCAGATCTGCAGCATCACCCACAAGGATAATCCCATCCGCACTCTAGTTGGTAAGATGGAGTGAGAGGAGTGACTGAAGATTAAAAGTGAATTGTACATTGGTATGAGTGATATTGGACTGAATATAACAATTTTTTTACTCAGTGGAGGAGATAATGAAGCCATAAATCTAATCATCTGGAAAATTTTCAACCTTCTCTCATTCTCTTCATTTCAGAGGACCGTGTGCAGCAGTACTTCATGGCACTCATCTGTGATCCTAAACCCCAGGCCAAACTTGAACAGATACCAGCTGGCTTGACTATTATCAAGCCTGAACTGGTATCAATGGGAGCAAAGTTTATCTCTCTGGTCAACCACAACAAGACTGTCTATGGACCTTTTTATGCAGATATCATAAGGAAGCTGATATTTAGTACCAGCCCACCAGCAGCAAACCCTTCTCAGGACACAGCTCAGGACTCTGTTTCCAATTAAAATTTACCGAAGTGTATTGCTGCTGCCACCATGAGAAAAAATATTTACTTAATATCAGTAGGTACTTTTCACATTTTTATGAGATACTTTGACAATTAAACCTGATATTTTTCATGTATTTAGGACAGAGTACATTTTCTGGTTATAACAAGACACTGCATTTTCTCATAATAACAATATACTGTTATAACGTCATTGAAATGTAGTTCCAGCTTTATGGCCCGAAGAACCATCTAATATGATAACACACACTCTACACTGGATCAGGTCATTTCTGCTCCCTAATGTAGGGCCCTCCCCAGCTTCTAGTGACTGACAATAGTGCACAGACTGACTTTACTTGCTGTCAGTAATGCTTGTAACATGATCAGGACATGCAATGCATTGTGGCTTATGAGCCGCATTCATGTGCTGTTTTGTTCACCCCTATGTAAATATTGGGGGTGGGTTTGTGTCGGATCAGTAATTCTAAAGGACTGACTGGAGCACACCACCTAAGCGCAATGCTGGTCACTGTATGGAAAGTTGGTATGTGTGTTGAGAGAGAGGCTGCTGGAGGGGTGCTCCAGCCAGTGCTGTGCACGATGCTCCGGCAAGGAGCACACAGGGCTCCACAGGCAGAACTCAGATTAACACTGGTCCTTGAGAACAGGCCAACTGTAGCATTGATCCAGTAAGCTATAGCATGTGTCTTATCACATTAGATGGTTCTTTGGGCCATAAATTTGAACCTATATTTCATTGAAGTTATCACAGCATATCATTTATTATGAGAAAATATGTTTTGTTATAAAGAGAAAAAACTGTCTCATTATAACGTGAAAAAAAATCACATTTTAATTTGAAAAGTATCTTAAAAACAATTATAACAAGGAACTTTTTTTTTTTTATAATGAGAAACTTTTCTTGTTATAGTGAGATACTGAGCAACTGTTTCTCCCCTCATGGTGGCAGCAATATGCTGCCATAAAAATTTAACTCTGGCTCATGCAGTTTAAGCTTTTTGCTCCTAGATCTAACTGAGGTAATAAGGAGGTAATACAATAGCTAGTCAGTGCTACTTTTTGCTTGGCTAGTATACTCCAATATTTGGAGTCACCTTCAACATATTATAATTTCTTATCTCTGCATTTAGCATTTAATGTGCCCTGTATCCTTTGTGCCCTGCTTCAAACCTGTGTTAGAGTGATCCATTTCTCAACCTAATTGTGAGCCTACACTCTGGTATTTTGGAGGGAGTCCATAGGGGTAAAGGGCAACACCTTAATACTATGCCTAATACAGACAAACAAAGAGGAATAAAAATCAAGCCTATATATTAAAAAAGTTTGCACAGTACCATTTCACATTATTTATATATAGCAAGTTATTGGTGGTGGAAGAAGTACACAGATCCTTAAGTAAAACAGTGTAAAAATACTCTTAAGTAAAAATCCTGCATTCAAAATGTTACTTAAGTATAAGTACAAAGTTATTAACATCAAAATATACTTGATCTCCTAAAAGTAAGTGTTCACATTATGCAGAATGGAATATAATAGTAATAGTACTAATAACAGTATGTCCTAGACCTTAAAGTGCCCTGAGATGACTTGATTTGGCACTATGCAAAATTAATTGAATTGAACATTTAACATTATTGTGTCATATTATGGGATTATAACTATTGATGCCTTTTTGTGTACATCACATTTAATGTTGTAGCTGGTAAAGGAGGATCTAGTTACAACTAACTTATAATGTACTGATGGATAGTTGTGAATTTTCCACCAGAGACCAAAAATGTCTTATGATTCTAATATATTTTGTTTATTAATGTAATTCTGAAAAGTAACTAAAGTTATAAAATAAGTATAGTGGAGTAAAAAGTACAATATTAGTGAAGTATGAAGTAGCACAAAATGAAAATACTCACAGTACAGATACCTCGTAACTGTACATACAGTAGTTACTTTCCACCACTTCAAGTTATTAATTTATCACCGTTATATTTTCAGGTTTTGAATAATTAACTATATAGTATAACTTTAATAGTTAACTATAACCACCATGTTAATGCAAAACATGAAGTATCCCTTTTCCCAATGACGCTGTGTTGCAACTGCTCTTCCTTTCACATTTTTATCTTCTCTTTTCTTCATATGTACTCTATAGTTAAAAAGGTAAGAGTAAAAGGTGTTTTGTCTGCATGAGTAGCTTTGTGCTGGGGTTTTGTCTTTTTAGTTTTTACTTGAGTCATTGTTGGAATATTTATCACACATTTCATGTTCTAAACTTTTACTTGTATTCTGCTAGTGGGAAAACTTGCTATATTGATTGATAGCTATGTTTGTTATATTTTAATGTACTGTGCTTGTTACAGTATTTCATTATTGGTTGTAAGGAGCTGAACTCAAAGTGATTTAGTGTCCAAAATTTCCAGTGGACCCAAATATTCACAAAGAAAAGCAGTTAAAATGAATTAAAGTTTTATTCTGTACTTTAGTTATTATAATAAAATGAAAAAAGAAGCACAAATCGGAGTATGCCATTAAAATATAAATGCAATTTTGTACATGGTTTATTACATTGTCAGAAATATAAGTACAAGTACAGCACACAATCAAAGTAAGTACATCAAATATTTGTATTAAGAAATGTTTGGCATATGCCCATGTTGTCATCCTGCAGCATGCGACCAGGCTGGCCCATATGGTACTATGTGATGCCTTATGGTCATACTGTAGCAGTGTAGGCATGTTACTCTAACTAATACTCATATTATTTATAAAATGCTTTTATCTTAATGGATGTATTCTACTAGTTATGCCTGCATTATTAGAGAGAGAATTTATGTTCAGCAACCTGGAAAAAGTTTGAGGTTTACATTCTTACTAAAGAAATATGGCCAAATTTATTTCAGGTAGCTATAGATTTCTGCAATTGGAGACAGGATTGAATTGTCGGGTTTGATTGATGATGAACTTTGACCAGAACCACATGACTGACCTATGCTCAACCAAAATGAGAGGAGTGGGCAGGCTTGGCCTCTACTGTTTTGCTAAAAAATGGAAGAGGCTCTTTTGGCAGCAGCTTCAAGCTATAATGGAGAGGTTATCAGATCCATGACACTGCAGCTGTAGTTTCCACATCAGCCGCCACAGCAGGGACTCCAAACCATTACGCTCCTAAAGGTGCCCATACTTGTGTCTTTCATCCCATTTGCTATACTACAAGGTGTCATCTTGAGACGCCCCATAGTAGTGATTTTACAATCAATAATAGTTGCAACCCCATGCAGATCCTCTCCCACATCCGCCTGAAGCTTTGCTCCATGTCTCAACACAAACCTCACTGTACAGTCGCTCCATCACGCAAAGTAGATTGGAGACATCCCTGCTTATTAAACATCACCAGTGGTAGCTCATCTAGCAAATAGGAGGCAAACATGGAACTTTATCTCCACACTCATGGACACTTTTAGGCAGCTCTTAATATTGTTTACATTTACATTCACATTTACATTACAGTTACATTTTATTTGCCTTTGAAACCTGCATATTATTGTTTGGTATCAGGGCATAACTCAAACAGTACTTTCCTTGAGGACTTAATCCATTCAGCATCAAAGTTGTTTGCAGCTATCAGGACCAATTCATTGTGACTCATGGTTTTGATCTTAACAGCAGGGAAATGAAGAAAATCTCTACAGTGATTTTTCCATCAGCAGTTCTATAGCTCTCTGGCTTCAATTGAGGTCGAAGTCAACTATAACCAGGAGTGTCCACATCTTGTGTTCTCTCCACTGTATTATCCCCAGAAGTGTAGACAACAAGACCTACTTGTATTAGTGCCTTAGTTTGTAAAATTGTAATTGCATGACTTCAAGCAGATAAGTGTGTCATAGTGTGTTGAAGTGGTGCGGTCCAGCCCACTAAGAGAGGCTGTTATATCCTACACGAACTCCCATTAGTCCTTCTTCTTTCTGCTCCAGGTCATCCCAGGAAATGCTGTACCTGTCTCACACCTGGCTTTGACATTCACACACCATGCATGAGACACACACAAACCCACATACAAACTCCTCAACAGTGATCTGTCACTGTGCCATGATCCAAGAGGGAAGGAGCAGGTGTGAAAAGGCTCATCCTGACAACAAAAACACATACACGCCCAGAAGCCCCGAATAATTCACACAACGCTGTCAGGAACAAAACAAAAGCCTTTCTATAAATACTGACACAAATCTTTCTAACTGTGCCTATTTTTATACAATCAACCATTTCTCAGATCCAAAAGTGTCTTCATTGACTGAACAGAGACACGGAGGCTTGTTATTTAGTCTTAATCAGTGTCTCTGAAGTTTGGTCTGTTTCACTAAGCCAGCTGTCAGAAGCCAGACTGAGGTGTCATCTCATCAGCAGGGATGGTAGAGCTGTTCTGTTCTGTTCATCCTCCTATGTCAGTTGGACTGAGCTCACTGATCCAACTGTTATACTGCTAGTGAATCTGAAAAAGTAATTAACAACATGAACAAATGAAAAGCTGTGTGGAGGATTTCTTTAACCATGTGAGGAGAAGCTTTGCAAGAAAAAATAATAATAGTAAGACTACTAAAGACAGTAGGACTACTGATTAGGTTAGTTAAAACTGAGCAAGATGCTGAGCCCCCACTCTCCTGCTCAGCAACAAACATGGTTGTAATGGGAAGCTCTGAGGCATCTTTAATAATGTGAATATTATTGCCAAATTAATTATAGTTTGTTGTACATACAGTTTAATAAAGATACTATGTTCGTCTACCAAATTTCAACCAAAAATCACTCTCAAGGACCAGCTGGAGCACACCATTCTGAGCACAGTTTTGGTCATAGTGGGGAAAGTTGGTATGCATGTTGATGAAAGAGAGGCCGCCGGAGTGGTGCTCCAGCCGATGCTGTGTACGTTGCCCCCGCAAGGAGCATGTAGGTGTCCACAGACAGAACTCAGATTAACTCCGGTCACTGAGAATAGGCTAACTGTGCAGGAATTAGTAATGGTTGAACTGTGGTATGAACTCACAGAGAGGTCCCACAGATGAATACATAACAGTCTTACTTGAAAAGCAATCTCATGGGGTTAGTATGTTGTCTTCTTAGTGGAGATGTAGCAACTGCAACATGGTGGTGTTCACAATAAACCACTACTGCACAAGTGTCTGGCTGGGGTTTTAGTAGTCACTGGTGCTCATTAGGGAATGAGCTGCAGCTATGCATCAAACCAGGGAGTCAGGTTCTGCAACTAATGGGAAGAGAGAGAGGAGAGAGAAGTGGCTGTGAGCAAGCCTGACAGGCATGGAATAATCATTTTTCACCATTCCATTGTGGTTAACTCATCTCCATGTCTGTGTTTTTTTCCCTTTTCATCTTCAATTCTCTTTGGTCAGTTTGTCTTGTTCCAGATATCTCTGTATGATGTGGCAGAGATCTATGATAGCCCACTCAACAAAACACACTGCTGTCATCTCTCTCTGGGTCTCACTCTGGTAAGGATGGAGGGAAAGGTGGATGGATGGATTGAAAGGGTGTTGTGGATGGGCAGGGAGACAATTTACACTCTCTTTCCTCCTGCTTTTCTGACTTTGTCTCTCTCCGTCTAGGTGAGTCTCTCCCTCTCAGGAAACCAGATCACAATCAAGTTTACCATGGCTGAAACAGAAACTGCTAAGGGATTCCACTTCGTCTACCAAGGTCAGAAAACCACAAGAATCCAAAGTTATTGTATAATTATTAGTACTTGTGGTTGTAGTAGTACTTGTATATTTTTGCAAAATTCAAACGAACTGCTTGTGTACTTCATGTTAAAGGTTTTATACACATTTTTGCACAACATGTAAGTAGGTTTTCTGTATGCTGAGGTAGTTAATGCCCCTTAAACCCCACCTTTATAGGATATTATATGGGATTTATTTATTTAACAAGGCCACATTGAGTTAAAAATATATCTTATTTAACAGCATCCTGGCCAAGACTGGCATTAATAACAGTACATTTGGTATCTCTGTTGATATAATTTAGGCTGTGGTGTTTTCCTGTTTTCCTGCACCTGTACCACGGACCAGTTCCACTCATTGCAGTTCAGTCCCAGAGCCACGCTTTGGGAAACGTCTCGGTAATGACTTTGCTGTTGGCTCCTTGGTGCAGTTTGGGTGCAACCCCGGTTACATTCTGCATATGATGTGAGAGTGTCCCAGACAACCTGGCACAATGGAATGACACCCTGCCAACATGTATAGGTAAATATAAACCCAGAAATTAGAGAAAAGATGGACAATTTCCTTTTCAGACTGCAGTAAAGAAAATGCCCACAGTGGACACTCCACTGAAAAATAATAAATACAGACAATTCAAATGCAGACTGCATCTCAAAGTGGCTGAACCTGACACCTCCTGCACCTAGTGTACACCGAAGGTGTCACACAGGCCTTTGCCGTTTTCA